CGTCGTGTATTCCATTTGTGAGCGGAACGGCGGTGAAACCAACGGCTCAGTGTTGTGAAGAGACGAAGAAAGTGAAGGAGAACAAGCCAGAGTGTCTATGCGTTATGATCAAAGAGAGTACGGATCCCTCTTTAGGGCTTCCGGTTAACACAACTTTAGCTCTTCAGATGCCTCTGGCTTGTCACATTGATGCTAAGGTTTCCGATTGCCCTTGTAAGTATTCTACCACTCCGTTTTTGTTCTATTATTCTTTTTTGACGTCTTGTTTGGTAAAAAACATATGTCCGTGTAGTAAAATGAAACGATACTACTGCAATTTTAGACATATTTTCATAGTTATCATCAGAGGTGCAAAAAAAGCTTGAGGTCCGATACTCGGTCCGAGCCCGTCCATAAAAATTTTGGGTTTGGGCTTCAAAAAACAAGACCCGTTCATCTATCAGGCCGTATCGACCCGACCCGAAAAAATACAGGCCAAAAGCGGGTTTGGACCGGGCCAAAATGATATTATATCATCATGGACCACCATCTTTTGTGAAAAAATAATAAAGTTTCAAACTGTGTGGAAATAACCAAACTCATATACTACATCAAATCTTGTATAATATCGTATGATTTCAAAAAAGAATACATATACACAAGGTTACTTCCCAATCTAACGAATGCTAGCTATAAGTGATAGTATTTATATATATATCCCTTCAAGTGACCATATAACAAAGCTAATTAGGATATTATACATACCCAAAAACCCTAATCTATATGCATGAAGTTTTCATTGCAACCGATAGAAGCATCTTCATGTGTGTGTGTATACGTTGTATATGTCAACTCAAATGACATATAAAATGCATTTTATGCAGCTTTGCTGAATCTCCCAGAAAATTCTCCAGAAGCAAAGATATTTAAAGATGCAATTGAAGGATCGTCCTCTCCCATATCAACGTCGTCGTCTTCACCACCGTCGGGATCAAACTCGAAAACCACAACTGCAACTCCTAGCAACAACGAAGCTTCGGATGCCATTAAAGCTACCGAACAAAGTCTTTTCTCGTTTATCATAACGATTGCGGTCTTTGGAGCCTTCATGTGAAAACCCTAAAAGATTTTGGGTTGTGCAAGTTTTTCAGTTTATCTAGTTTCTTAAATAAGAAGTAACAGTTCCTTGTGACTCAAGGAACAAGCTCTTATGGCAGATTTAAGCCTCTGCATGTTGATCACTTGCGGAATTTTATAACATAATGTCTTTTTTTTTCTTTGCGTAAAAACCTAATATAATATGATATTTTAAAATTAAATTAATTGAGCCCGAATACAGAAAGTTAAATCTGTCTGGTTCACACATGTCATCCGTACAAGCATGCGTTCACTTGCTAGTGAGTTGCTCAGAACAGGTTGCCTACCAGGGTCTGCGAACTCGGTGCTTGGTTGCCTGCTATCACGCGTCCGATGGAAGAGCCATTTGCTGCCATTTTACAATGGATTGTCGGATGCTCTTCAACCAGGGGGGATGAAGTTCATTATCCAGCTACTTCCATAGGGTTTATTTATTTCATTTGGAGAGAAAGGAATTTGAGACTACATGATGGCCAATCCCGGCCTACGAGCGTTGTTGTCAGGGACATCCTTGGCTCCACACGCAGGCGTCTATCAAGCTTGCGCGGTAAAATTCGGACCAGTATAGTTTTTTTTAATAAATAAAAAAATTCAAATACACGATTTCTCTAATATTTTATGCTGAAATTTGGACGTGGGACCTTACAAGGAAAATTAGGTTACCGTTTTGATAACAACTTACCCATGTTTTTATCCATATGAGTTTGAGAAATTGTCATGCAAAATTAAATATTACAGTTGTATGCCAATGTATTTTTTGTTTTTTTAGTTATAACAATCAAAACGTCTTTTTGTTAAAAAAAAAAACAATCAAAACGTCTTAATTCCATAAATACCAAAACGTGTTCGAAATCTTCGTCTTGCCACGTAGACAAAAACCAAAAGTAGGAGTAAAAAGAGACAAAAGTGAAACCTATAAATACCACAAACACATACACCCATTTCAAACACACACACAAAAAAAAGAAATAAAGTTTAGGCAAAACATATAATGGGAGTCTCAATGACTACGAGACTCGTCTTGACCCTAAGCGTCGTCGTTTTGCTTATCGCCTCGTCCGAGGCTATCTTCCCTTTGCCCTTTCTCCCTTTGCTCCCATGGTTTCGTTTCCCCGGGAGAGGCAATCCCATAGAAACGAACCCGGGAAAAACGCCAACGCCAACGCCAACAACGCCAATGCCAACGCCAACAACAACGCCACCTGTGGGCGAAAAACGCTCCAAAAGCGGCGACGTTGTGGCCCAGACAAACTGGCCAGGGAAATGGGAGCTATTCGTGAAGAACTCGGGCGTTTCCGCCATGCACGCAATTCTGATGCCGGTGATAAATAAGGTTCAGATATACGACGCCACCATATGGAGAGTGTCGGGGATGAAACTGCCACCTGGCATGCAGTGCCACGTCATCGATGCGAAGACGAAGAAAGAAGATTGCTGGGCCCACTCTGTTCTCCTCGACGTAGAGACCGGTGCTATGAAGCCTCTTCTGGTATGGATAGTAGTTGTTATATATCTCTTTTGGATTATTTGAATGCATGAACCCAAACCAATCATGAAGTCATACAGCTTCGTTTAGTACCTTGGCATACTGAATAATACGTTATCATGAACGACAGCTAAACACGGACACGTGGTGCTCATCGGGAGGACTATCGGTCAACGGGACATTGGTGAGCACTGGAGGGTTCGGAGGAGGAGCCAACACAGCAAGGTATCTACGTGACTGTGAAAACTGCCCATGGGTCGAATACCCTAAGGCCCTTGCTTCCAGGAGATGGTACTCCACCCAAGCCGCTCTCCCTGATGGCTCCTTCATCGTGGTCGGGGGCCGAGACGCTCAAAATTACGAGTACATCCCTCCCGAAGGAGTTATCAACACAAAGCTCTATGACTCGGCTTTACTCAGGGAAACAACCGACAAGGAAGAGAACAATCTCTACCCTTTTGTTTGGCTCAACACTGACGGTAATCTTTTCATTTTCGCGAATGATCGGTCCATTCTCCTCAGCCCGAAAACGAATCAAGTCATCAAGGAATTCCCTCGACTCCCGGGAGGTGCCCGTAACTACCCTGGAGCCGCGAGTTCAGCCCTGCTCCCGATCCGTCTCTACCTTGTCAACCCGAAAATCATCCCTGCTGAGGTTCTCATATGTGGAGGGGCCAAGAAGGATGCTTACTACAAAGCAGGCAAGAAAATCTTCGAGCCTGCGTTGCAAGATTGTGCAAGAATGAACATCAACAGCCAAAATCCAGTGTGGAAAACTGAGATGATGCCTACTCCTCGTGTAATGGGTGATTCAGTTATCCTCCCAACGGGCGATATCCTCTTTGTCAATGGAGCTAAAAGTGGTTGCTCGGGTTGGGAATATGGTAAAGATCCGATCTTGAAACCCCTCTTGTACATGCCTCGCCTCCGTAGAGGCCAACGTTTCAAGGAGCTTGCTCCGTCCACTATCCCGCGTATGTATCATTCTACTGCTATTGCTCTTCCCGATGGTAAAGTTCTAGTCGGTGGAAGCAATACAAACAACGGATACAAGTACGATGCTGAGTACCCTACTGAACTCAGGATCGAGAAATTCTCTCCGCCTTACCTTGACCCAGCTCTCGCCAACCAGAGGCCGAGGATCGTGGCCAATGGAAGTCCGAAACAGGTCAGATTTGGACAGAAATTCAGCGTGAGGATCCAACTGAACCAAACTAAGTTCCACAAAAACGAGGTGAGGTTGACGATGCTGGCACCGTCTTTTACGACACATAGTATCTCAATGAACATGAGGATGGTCTTGTTGGGGGTTTCAAGTGTCGCCCACAATGTCTCCCCCAATGTTCATGAGATTCAAACCTTGGCTCCTCCGAGCGGAAACATTGCTCCTCCTGGTTATTATCTTCTATTCGCCGTTTACAAAGGTGTTCCCAGTGTCGGAGAATGGATTCAGGTTGTCTAGACGATGATAACTAACTATGAGCTGGTTCATGCTTTATGTGACATCTTATATAAGATGAGTACGCACCTGTGCACTAGACTTGGATGTGTTTCCAAGATGTGAACAGATTCTTTGATTTGTGTTCGGAAATGTTTCTTTATTCTATCTATTTTTTCAGTAAGATGACGAAAAAAAAAAGAAAAAAGAAGAGGATCAAAAGAATTCGTTTTTTTCTTTTTTTATTTATTTCTTTCTTTATATCGATTCGATTTTCGAAATACATTTCCCCGAGTTATTTTCTCCCCAGAGAGTTTCATTTTATTGTCTGCGCAATTTTGTGGACACCATCAGACCCAATTGCAATATGAGATTACATAGAAAAAGCATATCCTGCTTGGCCAAATCAAAAGAAACCATGCGGTTTTGTGTTTAAAAACTGGAAAAAAAAAGTTAAATGCATAATGTAGACGGAAGATTCACATAAACTAGACATTAAATGCACAATGTTTCTGCCTGAGCACATGGGCAGACGTCGTGCCCCATTCAAAAAAACAAAAAAAAACATCAATGTATTTATAATTTTTAAGTTTTAAGGGAGTCAAGGGGTTAAGGGGTGGGTGCCCGTTATTTTTTATGTTTTTTTTTTATAAAATGTGATTCTTGTATTACTCCGAGAACAGTTTTCAAAAATACATGCCTAAGTTAGGTATACAAAAAGATCAAAATCAGGGGTTCGCAAGCGGGCAAAAGGTATTGAAATAGGATAGCTAACTAATACGATACCAAAGTTGGATGGTTTCGAATGTATCTTTTTCTCTCGGCTTCTGCAAGGAGATGAGTATGTTCCGCATGGCTTGATCGATCTTTAGTCGCAACTGTTGGACTGAATTTGATTTACCCTTGTGGATGCGGGCATTCTGCTCTTTCCAGATCTCGTAAACGATCAGCTGGATCAATTGTCTCTTGATAATTTTTCCCGAATTTGAAGTCAGCGCAACCGCCGGACGTATCCACGGCATGCAGTCGTAAACATTAAGCACGGGGTGGGGGGTCCTGCCCATTTTCCCTATAAAGAATGATCAGATTGCAGCACTATAATCACAATAGAAGAACAAGTGATTATGAGATTCAGCTTCCCTGTAACAAAGGATGCATCGGTTCGGCGCTTGGATTCCCCAACGAGCAAGATGATCAGTCGCCGATAATCTCCTGTGAAATACCTGTAAAATCCAACTACCTGTGAAATTCCGCGAATGAGTGTCGTGGAATGCTCCCACTGAACCAGACTAATGTATGCCAAGGGACCTGCTCGATGTGACTTCTTACAAGTTTCCAGGTTTTCTGTGAGTTGAAATCTGAGTGATAATCTCTTCATTTGCCCGCCATAGCATTTTGTCAGCTCCCTTATCAACACTCGGAGGATCTGTCATTAAGAGAATAATCTGCAGTTGTTGTATTTTATCATTCCTCGCCCCCGGTAAAACCCAACTGCCATCACGCATTGCTTGCTTTACTCTCGCAGATTTCGGTAGTCGAAGTAGTGTAGGCCCCGAGTTTCCAATAAACTCAATTAGAGGTCCAACATGCGGTTGTCATCGTACCAGAACGAGGCAGTCTCGCCATTTCCAATAACCATTCTTGAGAATCTTCGGACCTGTTCTTTCGTCCGAAGAAGCTTTCTCAAGTTTCAAGTGGCACCTGTATTTTCGGTGCATTCCCAATATGTCCGACCCTTGAAAACATGCTTCTTTATCCATGCAATCCAGAGTGATCTCGCTTTGGTAAATACAAGCCAGATAAGAGCTTGAATTCCCTGAATTAGATAGATAAACCACTAAGTTTGCATCTTTTGAAAGATCCTTGCATGTAAAGCAATCACGAAGCCTGCAGTATTCGTCGTTCAATGTTTACAACCGTTTTTATTGTTTGCTTCGCTACACTCTCACACTCATATTATTTTCTCTGGATTTAGACTTGGATTTGGATTTGAGTTTGTTGTTTAATTTTCCCTGTGTTCGACCCTAGCTACTACAATCGATCCGTACACTTGCGGTATTTGTTGAGTCTAGGTTAATTATCACTTGATCCATATTTCTACACCTAGATTTGCGATATCAAGTTTTTGACGCCGTTGCCGAGAACAATTTAGGCAATAGGATTAGATCCTATCTATCTGGGTCTATTTTTTTTTCTTTTGTGTTTTGTTCTCTATGTCTTCTTTCTCCTTTGTTTTCTCTTGTGTGTGCAGGCATGTCCTTTTTCAGAGTATGAATAGAGAAGCGTGGATATGAACTATTTTATGAATGACCCATACGCCAACCTTTATGATCCGGGTTGGATGGACTATCCCGATCTCTCTTATGATGCATACACTTCAGATGTTTCGTAGAGGGATTTCAACTACCACCAGAATCAAGGATCCTATCAGTTCCAGACTTATCAGTGTATACCTTCGTATCACTACGATCAGGGCAATGAGACATATTATCATTTTGAAGGATCACCCCAGGAAGCATATGCCCCTCCATCATCCGCAACTAAGCAGGAGATAGATTCTGAGACAAAATCCTTACTTGTTCGGTTTTTGCAGGGACAAAAGGACCTCTTGAATTATATGCAATCACGCGAGTCTCAGTCCAACAGAACTGCTAAAATCGCCTCCCAGTGGCAAAAGACCTTTATGAAACGACCAGAAACTGACTCCAAAGAGTATCTTAACACCATATCGATGAAGGACGTGGAACAATCTGAGTTAGAGTCTCCACAGGTAATACAAAAAAGGTGAATGTTCTAATGCCTATTTGGATTATACGCCTGACTTTTTTTTATCACAGATGAGCATTTAAGGATGAATTACGAAGAGAACCGAAATATGTGTCTCCATCACCAAGACCACCACCGGTTATGTTCCCTTCACGCCTAAAGAAACACAAGGAAGACGTTCAGTTTGATCAACCATGTTCACAAAAGCGAAAATTCGAGGTGAAATCACATAAGTTTGAACTGGTTGTTTACTCGTCCGAGACTATTCCCATCTCGGGTCGAGCAGCCCCCAAACTGATATTCAAGGAGATTCACCACCTCTTCCATCGGACTTCCATCCTGACCCCCAATTTTCACCACTTAATCTTCGGTCGGTCGATAAGGTAAATAAAGAACTACATCACATCGATCGAAGCCATACCAAGTCGGGTGAGTTTTCCACTAATCTCATTCCACCTAAAACCATTCCTCCAAGAAGCATTCCCCCTGAAACCCCTCCCACATGAGCAAGACGAGTCGAGTTAAGGACCTTAAACAAGCGCTTCCGGGAGGCAACCCGAGGTCTTAGGTTAGTCTTTTTTTTCTTTCTTTTTGTTTTTGCATCGGATATTGGTGCAGACCTAAATGCGAGTGAACGAACATCTCGAGTTAAATATTCTTCTTCATTCTTGATTTTCTTGTCTTTTGACTCATCTTATTGGTTGCCTCTACTAGACGAGAATTGACACCGAGGACGGTGTCCAGTTCAAGTCTGGGGGAGGATTCGTCTAACGCCAAACTATATCCATATAGAGTAGTGTTGCATGCATTTTTCTTCTTTCCACTTTTTAGTTGCATGTGCATATAGTATATTTTAGGATCATATAGTTTGATGTTAGGATTATGCATTCTCATATAGTGTTTAGGACATATAAGATCACGTGAATAAAACCGTTTTGAGCGTTGATGTGATGATCTATGGCATGAGAGAGTAGAAACGTCCTGAAAACATTGTGATCCGTTGAACGTGGTTATGTTTTGTTGAATTGATTGCTTGACCTTTAGGATTGTCTAGAATGACTTGTGGGATAGAAATCATTTGTTGGAACCCATGGGACCGATGTTGTCTAGCCAAGTAGAAAAGTTTCTATAAGAACCCTTCCCATGTTTTTCAAAATCGGTAGAGTCTATTATCAAATGCATTCTTATTTCTTCATGTGCAGAAAAAAGATAGTGAGCATCTCGACACTCCGCTGTCATTTCTCGTCAACGAAAATCGTTCAAGGACATGAGTGCATCGATTTGATGGTTCGGGTCTAAGTTGTGGATCGGGTTATCCAATAAACAAAATCGAAAAAAAAATTGATTAGGAACCCTTCAACTTCAACGTCCTAGGAACCCGGGATGCTAGCAAAAGAAAAAAAAAGAGAAAGTCTAGCTACATGAAAAAAAAGGAGAGAAAGAGAAAAAGAATGGATGCCGAAAGCGTAGACTAGATACGATTAGGTAGAATGGTGTAATAGGTTCGAGAAACATGCTTGATAGATGATTGAAGTCCTTGGATTGGTTCTAGGTAACGGTATAGATCCCATGGCTAGGAAAGATTATCCTTTAGAGAGGGAGATCATACTAGACAGACTTGATCATTGTTCACGGGGATCTAGGTCGAATAGAGGTTTCGCTCTCGATTATCATTTTGAGTTATGTCATTGTCTCATCCTCCTTTCGGACCATTTTTACGGAGTATTTGCTCGAGGACAAGCAAAGGTTTAAGTCTGGGGGAGTTTGATAACACGTATTTCGGGTTATGTTTTGATATAGGATGTCTAGTGTATTTCACTCGATTTTACATATTTGTAGATATTTTAGGACACATTTGGTTTCGATATTGGTTGGTTGTGTTCTTTGGTGTTTAAGTAGGAATCCATACATAAAAAGAGTAAAAGGAGTGGAAAACATGGACTACGGAACATCACGGACGAACGGGAATATTTGGAGTGTCTCCAGAGAAAACGTGAAGCTCAGAAAACGTCAGCTCTTGCAAGTCCAATAACTTTCACTCTACAAGTCCAAATCATGCAGTGTATCATTGTAATGATCTCTTCGATATCTACGCATAGACACCAAGATCACCCAAATCCGATATCGGAACAGAAAGTTATGAGTGAATTTGTGAAGCTCGTCAAAACTGCTATGTGACACGATCGTGTCATTTTCATCCACCCGACCGGGTCACTTACCAGATTTTGGAAATATTCCGAATTGTGGCCCAGAAAAATAAGGGTTAACTAGGATTAGCCCCCAAAGTCGAAAATGTTGGGATTTTCCTGGGATGTCATAAGCGAATCCTATTCCTAAGAGATCAGTTCTAGGGTTTGCGCAGCGGATGTAAAACAAAAATTTTGATGAAACCCTAAAACCTATCATGCATGATCTTGTAGAAACGATAGAACGCTTA